AAAATATATAATAGAAAATAAAGAAAAGAATATTAGTTCTTGTTTTAACAAATAATATTATTTAATTAAAATTTAATTTTAATTATGTAATTATTTTCAAATATATCTTTTTTTCTATAAAAATTTATATTGATGATGGATTCTGAATTGCTAAAATAAATTGTATAAGTTAAACTCTGTAGTGTAATTTTAAATTAATTTTTAATATTAACAATTTCCATATTTTCCAGTTTTCAAATCAAATGCCTTCAGTTAGCAATAAATAAATAGAATTTTGTATATTTTGAGTATAATGTAATTATAATTCGTATTATTCAAGATATAAAATGCAGTTACGTAAAATTAATCTGGAAAAGTTGTTTCTGCAGACGATGAACGATTACATCGAAGAAATAACTGAGTTAACAACTCAATTGGTGCTTCCCGGTCTGAAAATTGTACGTGAGAGTTTACGAGAGATCGTAAGAACTGTAGATTCCGCTGTTGTTCAATCTTATATAAATCTAATGAACTTCAGAATTAGATCGATAGTCGGACGTGAAGAAAAAGCACCACCGAGTTTAGCTCTCCAAAATGCTATACGTAAGCAATATGCGATTGTAACTGTATATTGTATATGAGTAACGTTAAAGATTAAGTTTATCACAAATAACAAGTTCAGAGTAATGCTTTAAGCCGCTTTAATGCTTTAGAACATGCAATTATCGCATGTCTATAGCAAAGTCTAGTTAAGTTCAATAAATTTAATTACATACTATCGGCTTCTATTCATTAAGACCTTGTAATATATGTACATCAAAATCTAAATTAAAGATCGAATCTGTGTGAAGATTTCACTTTAGAAAACTTTTAAATTAATACTAAAAATAATATGATTAATATACTAATCATGCCTTAAATTATTGCTATTAGAGGATGAGGATAATTAGCAAATTTTTAATATTTTTAAAGTTAAATTCAATATTATATTTATTATACAAAATTACTAAGAACAATATTACAAAGTTTATATTACACAGCGGATTTGTTGTCACCATGGGCAGCTTTCGCCACTGTTTGGGGATTAGGAGCAACTTGCGATTACAAAAGCCGCTGCATATTTAATGATTGGTTAAGAAAAGTACAAAAGGATGCCCAGCATAAAATGCCATTTCCAGAAGAAGGCCTCGTATTTGATTATAGGTGTAAATTTAGAATAAAATTTAGAATGAAATAAAAAATATATAAATAGATTAAAAAAATAAAATTTATTTTTATATTAAGTTTTTATCAAAATTACTTATGTAGAATTTAATTTATACAT